AGGTTTTGTTAACAGCTGTTATTTTTTCCTATGTATAGTACCGCAGGGGTACTATTGTACTTTTGCTCCTTTTTTATTTTAGTTGTTGTCGCCCTAGTATATATATTAAAAAGTTGCACCGCCAGCAGTATCTTTGAGCTCTCAGTTCTCTCTTCTCTCTTCTTCTCTCTCTTTTCTCTCTTCTTTCATTCTTCTCTCCTGCATAACAGGTTTCTTTAACTATTCATGTGATTCAGTTCTCCATACACACTGTGTATGGGAAAAAAAGGTGAAAAAAGGGAAAATCGAGCCTGCTCTGATACCAAGAAGAAAAACAGCCTTTTGAGAAGAAAGGACTGTTTAGAAAGTTACAAAAATTCAAAAGAAAGTAGCAGAAATCAGAGCTCAAGAGGAGAGAAGAAGAAGAAGAAGGTGGCAGAAACTTGGGTTCAGAGAGAGATTTTCAAACAAAACCCCTTCTCTTACTCCCTTAATTCTATTTCATTAARTTAAACTTTAGTAATTTACAGAGAAGCCCCTAATTGGGCTGAAAATTAAAAAGACATAACATAAGAAAGAATAAAATCCAGATTAAGGCCCATTACAGCAAAGAACATAAAAGATAAAAAGGATAAATAGCCTATGGGCCATTCGGCCCATCTTCTCTACACCTTCCCAGTAGGTGTGACAATACACAACATCACCATCAATCCTCTCGATCAAAGATCTGCAACCTTTGATGATCATTCTTAGTCTCCATGGGGGTTCCACATGGTTCTTCAAGCTGTCAATAACAAACTTAAGAGTCCCCCTCAATTGTAATGGATTTTCTATTGAAGTTGAGGGCAAGATTATGGGCTTCCCAAGCAGCCCATGCTTCAGCTAGATTAATAGTCGTACGTCCAATTTCATAAGCTTTGAAGTCTAAAATCTGGCCTAGGTAATTTCTGACCACACAAGCAATAGAACAACGATTGTTTCTACAAGAAGCATCAAAATTAATTTTGATTTCATCCACTTTTGGACTTATCCACTTGATTGGGATACACTGCTTAGTAGATCCATTCTTTGAATCACTATCAAGACCCAAAACAGCCTCAATAAATGAGTTATGAGCTCTATCAATGATTATGGGTGGGGGCATAGTCTTGTTATTGAAAACTTTGTTATTACAATTCTTCTAGATATGCCACAGTAAAATAGCTATCTTTTCTCTTAATAATGGATCCTTTTGTATTTCTAATGTTGCACTCTAAAGAAATCCACCAATTGAGAACCAAATTGTTGTTCTCAAGAGGAGCCGGTATGGAATCTCCTGTTTTGAGCCAAATTTGTCTGGCAAAATGGCACTTTATGAAGATATGAACGTCATCCTCCTCTTCGCCACAATAACTACAATTGCCATAAATATCAAATCCTCTATTCCGAAGGGCCATCTTGGACGGAAGTTTGTTGTTCAGTAAAAGATACAAGAAGATTTTAATTTTCGGAGCAATTTTCAGTCTCCACACACTATTGATTTCCTTTGTTACCCTAGTAGGGTTTCCATGCATCAAACAAGCCTCATTATAGGCAGATTTGATCGAGAAACTTCTATTCGAGTTAGGCCTCCATATGAATTTATCCTCATGATCCCCAGAAGAAATAAACAAGGTTTTTATTTTCTCCCATGCACTCTGAAGCACTAAATTTTTAATTAAGTCCTCCCTCCAAGTTTTGCTATCTTGGTTGATGACTTCACTAACTCGGAGGTCTAGATTATTAACTTCTGCATTATCAACCAAGTTGATTAAGGGTTCCTCATCTGACCATCTATCAGTCCAAAATTCAGTGTCATTACCATTGCCAATAATCCAGCCTAAACCTCTCTTAATCATTTTAGGATGCCTTTCCAGGCCCGTGAATGATTATTCTTTTTCAGTTTAGTGTCCCCAAAATTTTCTCTTCAAATATTTATTATTTACAACTTGAACCCATAAATTATCTTTTTCATTCAATAATTTCCAGCCTAATTTTGCTATGCATGCTTCATTCATCCATCCCAAGTTCTTTAGGCCAAGCCCCCCACCCCCCTCCAATGTTTTGAAGTGCACACCCTGTCCCAATTAACAAGGTGGAAGGGTTTCCTCTCTTTATTGCTGGTCCATAAGAAATTTCTTTGTTTTTTATCTAGGTCCTATATGACTCCTTTTGGGACTTTGAAAGATCTCATGATATATTGAGGAATCATATTACTAGAAGCCTTAATGAGCGTAATTTTTCTTGCTAGGGAGAGACAGTTTCTTTTCCATCCAGCCAGCTTACTATCCATTTTCTCACTCAGAAATTTAAAGGTGTCCTTGTTATAATTGTTGTTAAATACTGGAGCACCCAAGTAATTCTCATTTTTTATCTGTAAAGGAATCTTCAGAATTTTAGCCATGATTTTCTCTAATCTTGGGTGAATATTTTTTGAGAAAATTAAGGAAGACTTTACAAAGTTTGGAGCCTGACCCAAGGCTTTTGCAAATCTGGACAAAACATTTTTAATAGTGAGGCATGCTTGGATATCTGCTTTTGCAAAAATGATAGTCACCTGCGAATTGCAGAATTGGAATGGTCGGACCTTGTCTAGAAATTCAACAACCAATAGGGCTCCTGGGAACAAATGCTTCCCTCTGAAGGTTGAAAGAAAGGGCCTCCGTGCATAGGACAAAAATATATGGAGACAATGGGTCCCCCTGCCTGATCCCCCTGGATAGCACCAGTAACTTTAGCATGAAATTAACAGTTAACTATTTTATTTAATTTATTAAAGATGAATTTATCCGAAGGAACGTAGGAGTAGCTGCAATGAGTGATAAAATGAGGGAAAGTAGATTGGGATGGTTTGGTCACATGCAGAGAATACCATCTACCAGCACCAGCAAGAACAAGAAGTGATCTGTACAGAATGGAATGGCAGAACCAGATCCATGCGCTTACCCCATATAGTTGGGACAAGGCTTAGATGATGATGATGATGAATCAATAATTTCCTTTATCTTGGAACATTTTTGATAAAATAAAGAATATACCATCAAGAAAGTTAAGATAAGGAGTTCCAAATGAATGAAGCTACCTTCTGTTTGTGGTGGAATGGAAAGGTGATTTCATTTGTATTTTTTTTATTCAGACCCCCTCCCCATTGTATTTGGAGTTCTACATTTCAACCCATCAAAAAAATGGTTTCTGCATTTCTTCTTCAATATTTCATTTTTCTCTCTTTTTGTGGGCTTATAAGATACAAATCTCTAATACCCATTATTGAATTCAGGCATCCTCCATTTTGGGCCTTGTGGACATGGGTAGCGGTCGTATTGCAGTCTATGGTGATTCCAACTGCCTGGACAGTAGTCATATGGTAACCAATTGTTTTTGGCTCCTGAAAAAAATATTGGATTTCACTAGTAGGAATATCAGAGATCCAGTGCTCTTCTCTGATTCGATCAGACAGGATGTTCCACTCTATGAGGATGATAACCAATTACCATCTCGCAGAACTGATGTGAACTTCTCCAGTTATTCTGCCGTTGTAGGCAAAGAATTGATCTGCAGGAGTGACTCCAGGTTTGAAATTTGGGAAACAAAGGGCTATGGCTTACAAGAGAGTTGGTGGAAGAAGAGGTTACCTGGGTATCCTAATATTGGTGTGGCTGGTAGTTTGAATTCAATCATAGCGGGTTCCTCTTTAGAGTGGACCAGGTCGCCAAGAAAGAACGATGGGAATTCTTCTGCCAGAACTGTTGGAAACCCATATGACAAAGGGATGGAGTTTGCTTTGTTCAGCAGAGATAAGGTATGGGGTTTAAAATGTGGTTACAAGCATATTTCCTGTTATTGTCGAGTATTTTTTATTAATTTCATGACCTTTTGTTTCATGGAATGTTATGTATGGCTAAAAGAACTCTCGTTTTGGTTCTATTTATTGCAGTTTGAGAAGCCAGTGGTAGTTGCAAGTCGATGGATTGTACCAGCTATCGTTGCCATTTCTGGTGAGGAGCAATTTCTAAAGCGCCTAGTATTTTTTTTTTTTTTTTAATTCTTATGTTTGATGCACTAATGTAAGGATATCTGTTTCTAGGTCTTCTGCTGCTTCTGAGTTTTTGGCGATTTGGACAGAAGCGAAAGCGACGGAAGAAAGGACCAGTCTCTAGCTCCGGTCGTGTCATTAATGTTTAGTCCCAGTGTTGGAAATTAATTTTGCACTGGTATAGCTTTGTAGCTTACATATTTCTGGGTTGTAATACAGTGGCATGAGATTTTTTAGCAGTTACAAAAGTTGAAGTCATCGGTCTGCTATACAGCAGAGAGGTAAATTGCCTGCCAATCAGACGCCAAGGAGCTGAGCTGCTGATCAGTTTGATGGAGCACCAAGCTACCAATATTTCTGTTCCCCTGCAAATTCTGAAGGTTAAATAAATGCTGGTTTAACCATTTCTTTCCAGAAACTCAAACAGGAGAGCGGGAAAACAATCTCAGCCAATTCCTCAATAAACAAAGATAGATGCAACCCGATGGGGATATACATGTGTTCGTCATCGCTGACAGACATTGCTGTTATTACTTGTTAGAATGGTTTTCTGCACTATAAATGTAACAAGTTTTTCGTTGGCAACTGAGCTCTGTCTCTGTTATTTTTCTATTTCTTTTTTAACTCTCTTCGCTAAAATTATCAATACAACCGCAAAGTAAGTCGATGAATGCGTTATGGTAGATGGTTTCTTTTCGCTCAGTATAGTATACAACTATGTAGAGTGCGGAAAGCCTAGTATTTATAGTTTTATACTATTTCCTTTGGAAGGAGTACAAACACAAATATGTACGGTACAAATCCATACAAAATAGTACAAAGTGCAAGGTTATACACTTTACATATTTGTATTTGTAGTTTTGTACTCTTGTACTCTTTCAAGAAACCATTGCAAAAATTTTCTTGAAAAAACATTGCCAAAAGGGAAATGAGCATCCAGCAAATGTTTACAACATCAGAATTAGAAACCAACAAACCGAAAGAAGCCAAAGTACAAGGCAGAATCGACATTTGTGAGTTCATATGTAGGTTCCAACTAAGATGGGTTGCTCATCTTCTTTCCCTTGGTCTTCTTCATTTCTCCCCGCTGCCGTATCTTCATCTGGCTTCTCTTCAATCTTCAACCCTTGCAATCCATCAACACATGATTTTCCTCCTCCCTCTGGTACCTCTGCTCCCAACACCCTGTCCCCGTCGAGATCCTTCCCGGAGTTCATAGCATCGGTGATATCGACAGCCGCCTCATCGCCAAGCACTTCAGGCAGACCGCCGCCTTCGTTGATTCCGCTTCCACAGGGTCTCGGGTGTTCAGGGGCGGGCCACACTCCGACCAACTTATCAGAGAGAATACCACCGCTGGGCCCGGGGTCTTGAATACAGACGTCGTCGTCATCTTCTTGGTCCTCGTCTTCACGGGGGTTGTCGGTGAGGATAGAAGATGCCCCAGATCGGAGGGAGTTGGCCGCCCTGAGGAAAGCCTCTTTGATTGCTTCAGCCGAGAGAGCACAGTCTTCCAACCCTGCATCCTCGAGCCGTGGTGGTCGGATCGCCTTCAGCAAACTCTCTTCTCCAGTGGCCTCCATTACTGACTGGCCTTCAACTGTTTTTTCTTTCCTCTCTTTCTTTCGCCTTTTTCTACTTCTCTTTCAAATCTTCAATTTAAACACTCATCCCGATCCGGGTAATTAAACGGCTCTCTGCTAACTGAATCGTACCTTCTGGAAAAAGAAAGACAATAACCTAACTACACGTGCCTTCTTCCCGTAGCCACGTATCTTAAAATGGATCATTGAGTATTGACCATTCCATTCCGAGTCCGGATCTGTTCCTCACCCTGCGCGCCTCACACGGATCTCACAGCATATTCTGACCGCACATCGAAAATATTTTTCGTCTTTCAATTTATTATTCATGGAGTCTCAATACAGGGTAGAATAGAATGTGATTGTAAAATCGGTGTGAGGCGTGCTATGCGAAGAGCAGATCCCAATTCTTCCATTCCACCTCCCATTTTTCCTGCTGGATCGACGCACCTCACATCATTTGCCACATATCTCCTCTCTCAGGTCGGCCACCCACAAGATATCTCATATTATGTGGTGTACGATGCACTACTAGAATTCAATCAATGCCTTATTGCCTACTTTATAACTGATCAGTCCAGGTCAGAATTTTGTAGTCATTGAGAATTCTGCATTGGATATTTGGATTACAGAGTATTAACCCTTTTTTTTATGTGTGAAGGAAAAACTACAAGTATGTTATGTGCTGGACATTTGGACAGGTATTATTAGATTATATTAGATTATTAGCATTATGCAAAGAATATATTTATGGGTGTTAACAAGATTGAAATGTAAGAAGGGCAAAAATCCAAAAGCATGATGATGATGATGTGAAAATAGCAGTCTTCATACAACAAATTGCATTTACAGAGAAGGCAGAGGTACATGAAAAAGGAGTTCAGGTAACAATTAATACAATTATGATAAGACCTGTTTTCCCTCTCCTTTGAACACCCTTTGTATTACACAAATATATATACCCTTGGGCACCTTCCCTGAATTATTTCTGCATTAACGAATGGGGGAGAAAATAGCAGTATCCTTCCAATTCTGAAACAAACCCAAATTGCCCCTACCACAATTCATCTTAACATTCACAGCCAGATGATCTTTGCTGCCGTCCTCCACTCGCCACATCAATGGTGTCAGGAAGGTATCTTCATCATCATCAAACGAAATTGTCAGTAACAGCTCCTAAAATTTTACAAGTCTCAAAAAAAAAAAAAATCATGGATCAACTCCCAAAATATTGTGCGTACTCAAAGGCATTTCAGTCAGTGATACTCACATTTCTTCTTCAGGTTCATTCTTCAGAGCATTCTTGGCTATACACTGAAAAGCAGCTTCAACATTAATACCTTCTTTTGCAGAAGTCTCAAAGTAGGGAATGTCCCCCTTGGAAGCACACCATGCCCTTGCCTTCTTCTCGGATACCTGAAAAGCAAAATGAAGAACATACCATCACTCCAAACTAACAAGTGTCATAAAGGAATTGCAAAAAGATAGTAGAGAATTCATAATGAACTGATTTGGAGATATTTCAAATTGTAGAATCATGACCAATAGGAAGAAAAAGCAAACTAACCACTCGGCTGTTGCCACCATCAACATCTATTTTGTTCCCCAACACAACAAATGGGAAGTTTTCAGGGTCTGATGGGCTGGCCTGCATGTATCATAGGGAAATGTCTATTAGTCCTTGGTTCTCTCAAACTCGACAGTCATCTGTTTTCTAAATACAGTGACCAGATATTACCTGAATCAAAAATTCTTCTCTCCAGTTGTCAAGGTGCTCGAATGATTTCATCACATTCACATCATACACAAGAACACAGCAGTCTGCACCACGATAGAAAGCAACACCTAGGCTTTGGAACCTCTCCTGCCCAGCTGTATCCCATATCTGTACAAACAACCCAATAAGCGTTAGAATTCAATAAGGAATTTGGCATTTAATTTCCATATTAAAGTTGCAAAGCAGTGAAATTAAAACTTATAATTCAGGGAACCGCTTCATAACATTCCACAATTACATGTGACAAATTCCTTGATAGAAGCAAAACTACAAAATATTACTACTGATAATCCTAATGTAATCTCAAGTCCATATGACAGAACCAACACAGGGTAAAACTCAACTATAAATTACCTTAAATACAGTCAAGCTTACAACAATGATAAATGTATATTTTTGCAACAAGTTAAAAAGAAAATCATTTCCTTTTCCTGACAAGGTATCCACAAAATACTATAAGATTCTCATGCGATTTGATGTTTATAAGATAAATAGTTAACCTATCTTTGCTTCATGCTTTTCAAGAATAATCATCCACAAACAGAAGAAAATACCGATAGCCACCCATAGAGGAAACATGATATAGTCCCCACACATCAGTATGAACAATATAAAAAACAGAAAAGCATATTTTATTACTTGCTTTAAAGGAATGTCTACAATGCTTTCCAAGCTAACAACCTTCACACTCCAAACTGGACAAACTGACGGACTCAAACAACTTCGGAAACAAGAAATGCAAAGAAGCAAAAGACAAATGCCCTAACTGATTATGCTAAAGCATAATCTGACCCACTGACTCCAACTCAATACCCCTGCTGACATGATGACTCTGATGACTAGGAAGCGCATCAAGAAGATAGATTCCATTCACCTTACAATCACTCCCAATCATCCTCTTTGATTCCAGATCCTACAAAACACAATGACCAAGAGAAAAAATCACTGAAATAATTCAAATCCTTTGTCAAGTTACTAACAATTAGTACTCGATCTAGGGACATGAAGGACAGAGGGTAGGGTAATGGTATAGGTTATCTTGACAGACCCTTTCCAAGGAATGGGAACATATGATCCATCAACTGTGGAGACTCTTATCTTTGCTAGAGCAAAGGTGGTATGAGGAGAAAATGGTGGAAATGTTGGTCATATGTTTTGAGGCTCTTAAGTCTATAATCCAAGAAGGTCCCTCCTTGCTTGTAGTGGAAACATAGTTTGCAGTGGCATGTGAATTATCTGTATGTGCAAAAGAAGTAGAATGGCTACCTCCTGATCCACCAATACCCTATTGTCCACCTGATAATGGGTTGGAACTGACTGTATCCCTTTAATTCAGAAATTGCCCATATCTCTCCAATTCAGCCCTCACTGCAGCTATTGCAACAGACTCGAGAGAAGCTATAGTAGGAGGTCCTGATAAGTTACTAATCACTGCCATATTCACATTTCCCTTCTTGATTTTGAGTCAGCTAGGCACAAGGTGTGGGTGAAGCTTCCAACAGGTATCTCTAGTATGTTTAGACTTCTTTCAATAGTCACAGATCATATCCTTCTTGTCCTCCTTCCTAGGTTCATTTCCACCCTTGTCTCCACTCGGCTTAGGCTTCACTATGCTAACCATAGCTGACTGCTCAAGTCCTGGATTCCTCATCATCACATTCCTCCTACTCTCCTCTCCCGACACAAAGGCATATGCCTAAGTTAAGAGAGAGTTACACTGTCTCTAGAAAGAATATGCTACTGTGCAATGTCATACTCAGGGTTAAGCCCAGCTAGAAATTCAAAAACCCTGTTCTTCTCTACCAGCTTCTGATAAGTTGTTGCATCCTTGTTACTTTCTCAAACCACAATCTCCAAATGATCTATCTCCTGCCATAAGGTTTTGAGGGCTGAAAAGTAAATAGCAATAGATTTATCTCCCTACCTACACCCAGTTTATCAATCGGTAGGATCTAGCAACATTCTCATTTTGTGAATAGGTTTCTGTAACTCCATCCCAAATCTCCTTAGTTGTGTTAGCCCATAAAAAGTTTTTACTTATATGGGGCAACATGGAATTGCACAGCCAAGTCATCATCATATGGTTCTCCTGTACCCACCGGGAGTAATTAGTTTCAGGTTTCTATTCCTCACCGGTGACATACCCCAATTTCCCACGAGCACCAATGGCCATCTTTGCAGATTGTGACAACTCTAAGTAGTTTGTACCATCTAACTTGACTGTAGTGATGGTCCCAACCCCGAAGAGGTCTCCAACACCTCCTCTCCCTTGTCCCATTTCACTTCCAAGTTTGTTTTCAACTCCACAGCCCTCCATAACTCCCAAAAAGGATTAGAAAATCAATTTGAGATGAAAAGAGAGGTATTTATCTCCTTCAGAAACCTCAAACACCCTTCTGGTACCCTAGAAGCCCCTCCCTCCAAAGATTCCCTTTTCCGTGGAAGTGGGAAAAGAGAGAGAAGAGGTCGCCGCTCCCCCCAAAGGCCTCCAAAAAAGTTGGGACTTGAATCGCCCCCTTCAGAAAAACACAAAGAACCCTAGAAAACTAGAGCACCACTTCTTGGGTCAAAACTGAAAAATCCTACTAAATCAGGACTCTCCCCCTTTCTCCAGTTCTTCCTTATTTTGGTGCTAAACCCTAGACCAGCTACAAGGGATTGCAAATCCACCTAAAAATCCAAGAATCAGGCTTACCTGAAGTCTTCGATCAGCCCTTTACCTCATCGTGCAGTCAACCGATCTAGGGTCGTATGATGGAGCATCTCAAGAAACCTTTAACCTTACTCTGATACCAAGTAGAAAAGTTTTGATATAAAATCTGTAAAAGAAAGAAGAGAAAGAGGAGAAGAAAAGGTTTCTGCTAAAGAAAGAGAAGAGAGATAGAAAAGAATGGAGGAGAAGCCAAAAATCTAATCTAGCCGGCCCTTTCATTAGATTATATACTCATAAATAAAGAGTGTACAAGTATGCCCTTAGTAAGTTAGCTACTTGTAAGAAGCTGAAAAGTCACACTTAACTTAAACATTAACTAATAGGCCTATGGCCCAACAACTGCCTAAGTTATGTAAATAAAAACAAATAAAATCGGCCCACAACTCAACACACAGCATGGCCCACTTTACAACTCTATGGATTTTGTGAATTAAGGGTGTTTTTGTAACTTCCCCATTTTAAGTAGTGTCCATCCTCAAGATTATAAGATTATATTTTGGATTTAACTTTTATGACCTGCACGGAACCCAAGGCAAGTCTCTATAAGGAGATACTTAAAACATGAAATAAATTCTAAGAAGGTATTACTAGTTATAATTGAAAATTGCAATAAGAGAAAATCTACTTGCTTATGAAGATACGTCTCTTCTCAGTCCAAAACTATGTAGACTCTTGTACTGTATTCTTTTTCAGATAATGATTGTAAGTATTCTTTTGAGTTTAATGATTTTGGAGAGTGATTGTGGGAACACTAGGAGTGATACCTGGGTTCTCTTCTAATTCCCTCATTCTTGTAGCCATTAGCCTTAAAGAAGATATTTTAGCTGGGAGAAGTAGATCAATATGCAAAATGAACCTCAAAATCAATGGTAAGATAAAGAAATAGGTCCCACTTGAAATATATTCAAAGAGGGGTAAAACAGAACAACTTTCTATCAATAACAACCAAATGGTTTTTATTAAGTTCCAGAAAAGATATGATATACAACAGCAGTGTATTAAGTACCATTATAATTGGCTAATCCTTACTATCCCTGCTAAACCCCAATATTGTTGGTTTCTTGCTGTTCCTGTTTTTGTAAACCATCAGCCAAACACTTAGTGTTTGGAGGGTCACCGATACGACACGTATCGGCCGATATGCCCCGACACGTGACAAAATTTTAATCCTTTCCATCAGCTAGATAGTTTGCTGATCTCAGAATCCATCTATAGATTATCTCTTCATCCAACTTACTAATCTCTCTCATAACTTGTCTATATTCCCAAGGAACTAGGACTATTTGTGGCACAACCATCAAAGTTTGACTTGTTAATGCTTTCAAGAGGAGGAGGTTCAATGTTGCAATGCTCGTCTTCTAGGAAGTATAAAACTAACTACTGTATGCCATTCCCTAAGAGTTGAATCCATAAGGACACCTTTCAGTTCATGATTTATTCCTTGTAGAGATCCAATGGGCAACCTGTATCACAACCAAGTCCATCAAAGTAGAAGCTTTCTCCTTGGTCTCAAAAATACAATTACTTCTTTCAGTTCAAATACGCCACAAAATTGCTGTTCTTAAACACTTCCATGTAAAAGAAAGTCGTTTTCTTTTTCTTTCTTCTATTCCCTTTGCAACTAAATACATTCTAAAGGAAATTTTAATTTTGATATTCTTCCCAATGGATGTAGATTTCTGTCTTACCAACATGTGGAGGGATATGATTTCTATTGCTTGTCAATAGAAAGAGAACTTTCATGACTAACCAGCACAATTTTGAACCTCTTTGAAGGTTTATATGCCTTCCTTGTTAGAAAACTTTCTTAGTTCCCGCTTCAAAAAAAAAAAACAAATTCTTATCCTACTTCACTGGAAATATTATGCTCCAGAAGCTTTAAAGATATTGCATATAAATGAGGATAATCAACAATGTTTCAAATTCAATCTCAAATGTAGCCATCTAATCTTAGGGTATAGTTAAGTAACATAATTATAAGTCAATATCAGAGCCCTTAGAACATCTTATACTCCTGTTTGGATCAAATAATCATGAACTAAAGTTCAGCAAAGTTTGTTGAAGAAACAAGCTAATAATTTGTTAGATGTCCATTCCCAATCTCCATATATCCTTGGGTCTTAGTCAAAGAACCCAACTCCCAAGAATTTTGTATAGAATTACATTTTTATCTTTTAATATGTATTTTTTTGTTTGTTTAAGAAAATGTTCAGTACAAAATCATTAATCCCCTTCCCATATATATATGCAATTAGGAAAAAAAAATGAACTAAATCAACTAATGAAAAGAATCCAAATTTTCAGAGGCAGAAAATGAAAGGCATTGCCGTGAAATATAATCTATTTGGGAAAAAAAATCTAAGAAATGTATCATTAAGGAGAATTATCAATAGTTCACGGAGCTTCCATGCTCTGATTGCTTTATAGATGAAAAACATCAACAAATTTACAGATGTATAATGATAAAAAAGAATAGTTTGAATGGATCTTAACCTATAGTCTCGGTTGACAGTTCTTCCTATTAATTTCATATGCAAGCAATCCCGTCCAATTCTTGGTTTATTTGTTTTAATGATTTCGGTTTCTCTCTTTCAGTATTGAACAGTTGGTAAATTTATTAGCAGGAACAAAACCACGAATTCACCATAGCACTCAAGAAGAAACAACAAAGGAACAAATTGAAACTTATACTATATTGACGAAAGATATTTGCAGAAGCAATTAAGAGATATAGCATTAACCAACAAAATAGCCCATTCAAACAAAATTATAGGGGAAAAAACATGTTTTAAGCTGGAAGCTCACCTGCAATGTGAAAAGCCTATCTTCGAATTGGACTTCTTTTGTCAGAAAATCAGCTCCAATTGTTGCCTTGTACTGATTACTGAACTTACGATTTACATATCTGAACAGAGTGTTTAAGGATGCAACAGTCGCAGATACAGTAAAATTTAAAATGCAGCGTCATTAAGAAAGCAGAAGCAGTACGAACGAAGAAAGAAAGATGAAGAGATGGGGAACAAACAAGATCTGACTTTCAAGGATACTGATTCATCAGAGACGTCTTGCCGACCCTATCAAAGATTAAACAGATACAATTAAAGAACAACACAAAAAACTCTACATAATCGAGCAAATATACATTAACTAAAAAACGAAAAGCCTTAAGGACTTAAGGTTCATCAACACAAGGCGCTTCAAAAACGTTTAACTCGAACGAGTTACGAGGAAGCCTCAAACCATGTAGGAGTTAAAAGAAAACCCACCCGCTGTCACCGAGGATTATGACCTTCAGAAGCATCCGCCTTCGAGATGCCATAGATTCCGATTATTCGAATTCTCTGTAATGATCAGGTATCACAAGCTTTCTCCTCTGCAATAAAATCAAGCCCTTGCGATTCCAAAATCGGCTGAGAATTGAGAAATCTCTGAGTCTAATTTTAGATAAGAAAAATAAAAACGGTGATTATTAGACTTCCCTTCAACTAAAAACTTTCCCAACTTTAAATTTTCATCAAAAAATAAATAAATAAAACGTTTACTTAAACTCACATTCTTTTAAGTCAGTAACTTCCGTGAACGCACCTTCCTCGAAAATTTTGAACACCCGAAAGTACCCTTTCATACAATACTAAATGGAAAGGGTATTATTGTCTTTCACATATTAATAACCAATTAATAAAACACACCCGGTCGAGCCAGACAAGAATTATACGATCATCGTTGGAGACAGGCAGGAACAGTTCGATTGACTCCGTGATATATAAAAAACGCGCATTGGCTTTAAATTTGAGGATGCAAACGGATCGGATTAGAGTCGGGATATATCCGAATCCGAATCTGTTAAAGATGTCAACTATCTAAATATAATCTGATTTGATTTAATTTTTGAATTTTTTAATAAATTATTAAAAAATATAATAATTTATATAAATAAAAGCAAAAAATATAAGTACTTTTTTAACTATTTTCATTATATTATATCTCTTTTTATAAAAAGTTATCAAAAATGTATATATATGTATGTAGAGAGAGAGGTTGGATTGGATCAGATTCTTTCATATCAAATAGGGAGTGATCCGAATCGAACAAAAATATAATCGGATCAAATCATGATCCGGTCCATTTTGCACCCTTATTTAAATTGCTAATAACGTGAAAACCTACCATTGATTGGTCAAAATTCTTCTCATATCATGTATTTTTGGCATCATAGATTGTCTGGTCTCTAATTATTTGTGAGATGGGATTAGCAATGTATAGCTATTTAGCAAGCTTTGAAGCTAATAATAATGCACTACACCAATCATAAGGTATATGAGTCATAACCATTCAACCTCTCACTGCAGGTTCCATGTATTTTGTCACCCATATGGGGCGTTATCTTGGAACAGGATCTGCTCTTTATACATGGGCGTCCCACAGGCATATCCACCATGCATTGGGAACATCTCCCGTGAATAATAACTTATAAGTATGGGAGATGTTCCCAATACATGATAGGATGTGCGTGTAAAGTCAGTGTGAGGCACCCCGCATGGAGATGGGATCTGCTCCTCACAAATGGACGCCTCACAGGCACATCCACCAAGCATTGGGAACATCTCCCATGAATAATAACTAGTAAGTACGGGAGATGTTCCCAATGCATGATAAGATGTGCGTGTGAGGTGTAAGGAGAAGATCCGATCTCCCCTGAGTGAGGAGCAGATCCAGTCTCCGTTATCATTGGTTCACATAACGCATTCAACTAATTCAAATCATTGCTTTGTCTGTGTGAATGTATTTGGTTGTTTGTACTAGATGCGCAATAGTTATAAATTATAAATGAAATGTGCCTTTTTCAGAAAAAAAAATCATAAGGTTGTGTTTGGTCTGATAGAAAGTTGAGAGAAAGTTCATAAAGAATAATACCTGTTGACAGGCCGGACTTTGGGCCTGATTTTACACTATGTCAGGCTTAGACTTTGAATTGAATTTATTCAAATTTTGGCAAAAGCTAGGCCCAAACCCAACCCACAAAGAATATCAAACAACTTTATGCTCCTCTCTTATTTTTTATCAAACCTAATATAGACTAAAAGTTATCAAATCACTAGACTATGAAACCCAATAGAACAGAGATAAATCATTCACAACGGGGTGAACAACCTATCATGAATGAACATGCCAGCGTTCTTTTCACATGGATGCACATAACACCCACACTATAAAGTATATGGAAATACTGTCTTGTGCATTCGTTGCCCAACCTACTGTATATGATTTTATCTCCGACCAATCCCAACTCCTGATATATCGACTCAACCATTTTCTGCGATTCGAGTCAAATGACAATGTATGATGAATAAACTGACAAATTGGCGGGGTTATAATTTGTGAAGACTTGTTCAAGAAAAAGGCGATTTGAGAAAAGATTTGCACCGAATATAGGTTGCATCATGTCCAAAAAATATATGATATCATCATGGATGGTAAAACTTGGCTGTGACCAGAAAAACTTAAATCATCCTTCAACCTCACCTAAGGCTTCTAATAAACATCTCTTGAGCATTATCATACTTTTAAACATATCCTATAAGATAGGGGGATCGTGCAATAGGCATAGCACATGTAGGTAGGGCTGTAAATGGTATCCAATTGTCTAAATTTAAATTTAAATTCAATCCCTAACCCAATAAAATTTGATTAGATTCAATTTAATTATATACATATACATACATTTAAAATTTATATTGCATCTATTAGGAAAGATAATTATAATGTTGTGTTTTTATTATGTGTTATAATTCATAAAAGTAACTTTAGTTCATTTTATTAATAATATAATATTTTGATATTTTTAGTTTAATTTGCTTATAATACTATTCAACATCTAATTACAATTCAAATTTGACTAGAATTCCGTGGATAAAATCCAATTTTAATTTGAATATAAATAAATCCAATCTAGATCAGGTAGACACAACATTGTAAACACCTTCAATGAGCACTTGGAAAATTTTCGACACGTCCCTTAAAATACCCCCAACCTATCATTGAAAAAGATTAAAAATCACTTTTGAGAGTTGCCAGAATATTTATCAAGTGTTTATTGAACGTGCTTACTATAGTGTGCCTACTAGATCCAGTACCAAATAAATCAAGCATGTGTTTGGAACCATAGGCGTTTATTCACTAAATGTTTGTACTTCATTTGTTTGTAAAACCAATAAAAGCAATTAGCAAAACAGTGAATAAACGCCTACCCATTGGGGGAAGCGCTAAAATGAAGCTTCCTCGATGGTAGGTGCACACATAAATCAATGCTTGTTTTTGCAAGTCTCTATGCGTACAGATCCGCATAATGAGGGAAATGCTAAAGTGGGGCCTATGTGGTAGCATTTATTCAATAAACACTTACGGTTCCAAACACCACCCAAATTTGGATCTACCTATATGTAATTCAATGCAATCTGTTTGCAACCCTACATATAGGAAGGGCTATAGCTTGGACCCAAACCCCAAGCCTAAAATATAAGTCAAAACTAAGGCTACAACTTAGGTCTGGTTGGCTTGAACCCAACCCAAAAAAATCTGTGTTGGGTTGGGTTGGGTTGATGCTCAGGTTAGAGTTGAAATTCATGAACTTGGCTTTATTCTGGGTTGGGTTAGGGTTAACCCCTTGGGCAACCCAACCCAACCTGAACCCAACTCTATAGTATATGTCATATATAATATAGGTTATATATATTATATATCATCTATTGATTTGTTTAGATGTATGATAGTTGTATAGCCCTCACTACATACTATCATGTTTTCTTTTAAGATAATCACTTCACTTAATCCCAAATGAAAAGACTAAAACCTTAATAACATATTTTATGTTTTTTGAATATTTTGTTCTTCATTTCCTCTCTAATGTTTTCCGCCCATAAAAGATCTATCATAACTCATAATAAACTATAGTCATTTCAAACACTTATTTTTCTGAATTTTGTACTAAAAGAACCAATAAAAACATCAACAACAAATACTAATAAAACATAGGATTAATATATATATATATATATATATATATATATATATATATATATATATTTTCAAGGGGGTATACATATAATGAAAATTAAGGCTGCAACTTGGCCCAGGTTAGCCCAAACCCAACCCGAAAAAGTCGGGTTGGTTGGGTGGGGTTGATGCTCAAGTTAGGGTTAGGGTTGAAATTCATGAACCCGACTTACTTCGGGTTGGGTTAGGGTTGACCCCTTGGGCAACCCGAACCTGACTCTATAGTGCATATCATATATAAATATATGTTATATATATGATCATACATTGATTTGTTTAGATGCATGATAGTTGTATAGTCACTACCACATACTATCATTTATTTCGTTTAAGATAACCTCTTCACTTAATCGTAATTGGAAATACTAAAACCTTGATAACATATTTTATATTTTATAAATATTTTATTCTTTATCTCCTCTATGTTGTTTGCCACCCATAACTTGCTACCCATAAAAGATATATTATAAGTCATCATAATAAACTATAGTCATTTCAAACACTTTTTTTTTCTGAATTTTGCACTTAAAGAACCAATAAAAACATCAACAAACAAATACTAATAAAACATAGGATTAATATATGTAATGAATGTTAAGATCTAAGATTGAGAAGTTCTACAAGATTTTAAGGGATGGGAAGAAGGTAGGGTTGGACCCAACCCGAAGTTGACTTTGGGTTGGGTTGGGATAGAGTTGAAGGAATTTAGTTAGAGTTAGGGTTAGGGTTGGGTAGGTCAAGTTGGGTTAGGGTTAGTGTTGGGGGTTTAGAACTTACGGTTGGGCTATGGTTGGCCTCAACCCAACCTGAACCGGCCCGACTTGCAGCCCTAGTGAAAATTGAGTTGAGATTTGAGATAAAATAGTTTTATGAGATTTTAAAGGAGGGGAAGAAAGTTTGGTTGGGTTGGGTTAGGGTTGAAGGAATTTAGTTAGGTTTAGGATTAGGGTTGGGGGTTTAAAACTTAGGGTTGGACTAGGGTTGGCCTCAACCCAACCTAACCTGACCCAACTTGCAGCCCTAGTCAAAATCTGTGCCTATGCAAGGCTTTCAAGCCTATGACTTTAATTGGAAAATATTAAATATATAATATTCTTTGTCGTAAAGAATATTTATTTTCCCTGCCCCCTCTCCCAATCCACTTTAGCTTTTGGCCCCCCTCATAAAAAGTTAACGACTCCACCCTTAAGAAAGAACAATTTTTCCCATAATGTTTTGACAACTTTCCCTCAATGTGAGAAAGCTATTTATCTACTTGAGAGATGGAAACGTTATCGTAAGTGATTCCTCTGGGTAAAGCAATTTACCATGGGACCCATAGTTACCAAAAAGCAAAAATGGAATTGATGCATTGAACAACTTCCCCTCCCCCATTTATTGAAAGACAAGCAGGGCCTTATATTAAAGCTATGTTTGGTTTGAAGGAATATATAGGGAAAGGAAGGAAAAGGCAAGGAAACCTTTACAACCCTTGTATTGGTTTCCCTATCTTTCCCTACTTTTTCCTTCAAACCAAACATAGCCTAAAGGTAAATCATAGTGTGTATTTTGTTCCATGTAATTTAGGTTATGTTTTGAAAAGAATGCAAATACAAATATATTAAGTGCAAAATCTTGTAAATATGGTCCATATTTGTATTTCTAAACCTTGTATTTGCACTAAACATATTTGTATTTGTACTATTCCCAAATGAAGGCTAAAGTCAAATTGAACTGGAGAATTATTAGGATTTTAATGAAACTTCAATGTCTAAGGACAATTTCATGTCATCACCTATGAGTAAGGGTGTCAATGGACCGGTTTTGGATTGGACCTCATCTAGTCCAAAATCAATTTGGACGGATTAGACGGATCAATAAGACATATTGGATTGGACCAATCTGGTTCAAAATACTTATTAGATTTGATTGGACCTAATTCGTCCGTAACAAATTTATATTAGATTAGGTTAGATTAAGCCAATATCTGGTTCATTGATATAAGATAAGAATATATGTGTCAATGGACTAGGTTTGGATTGAAACCAATCTAAATCAAAATGAATTTGAACTGACTGGATGGTATAAACATTGAATTGGACTGGTACAAATTGGTCCAAAACATTTATTGGATTGGATTGGACCTGATCCATTTATTATGAACTTACATTGGACTAGATCGGATTGGGGGTGGTTTTTGTTTGGCAATAATCAACAGCCGGGATGGAATTATTTTAAGAAGGTGAGGGGAGGTTTAAGTATTTTTCCAAAAAACTTAAGGGAGTGTTCGGCAATACGGCTGGTTTTGTTTTTTCGATATCAGTAAAAACAATATGCTTTGTTTCCAAAAACAAAAGCAACCATCGTATGTTAGGCTTTTTTTTTTTTTAAATTACACAGAAGAGGTTATTAGGTTAAACTCGTGGTTTTAAAAATTGGACCGGTTGACCCAGGAACCGGTCATGGCTCTGGGTCCAATTTTGAACCCCAAAACTGTCTGGTCGGGGTTCAGACTGGATGGTTAGACCATTGGACCCAGGAACCAGTGGCCAAAGTGGTTCCGTCTCCAGGTCGAACCATGGTTAAACTCTTTCTTGCCTCACAATAAAAATAGAAACCCCTTTCAAGCTACCATAAAAATTGCCACGTGGAATATTGCCAAGCTACCACCAAAAATACCACACGGCCGGATATTGCTGAACTGTCTAAATTATTTCTAGAAGTAGCATTGCCAAAAGCTCAAACAAAATGTTAAACTTCTGATCAGCTTAGCTTGAGCCCCGAACCGTAGTTTTAAATATTATAAGGATCTTAAGCAACCAAGGGAATGCTTGGATCAGTCAGTTCTTAAAATTGTGTGAAAAAAAATCCTATTTGGAAAGACTGATTTATCAAAAATCAGTAGATGAATCTATTATTCTTGATTTTTGTGATTTGGATTGATGCCTGAAGCTTTGTGAGATAGTTTCGCAAAACAGCAGGTGATTTTTGAGTTCATTTATGACTTGGTACATAGTTTTCGAACAGCCGTTGACTCACACTGTCTCTCGGATTATTCAGCCAACTGGTTCTGTTTTATGTCAAATTTTGTCTTTGGCCAAAAATCGTTAAATCAGTCAATGATTTATTGATCCGGGCGGTTGAACTGTCGACCCGTTCAATGGTTTTTGGTCATTTATATTTTTAATTATTTTTTATTAAAACGAGTTGTCCATTCGAACCAGACGATCAAACTGTCGATCCGAAAACTAGTGGCCAGAAAGATTCCATTTTTAGCTCGTTTTTTAAAACCATGACTTAGTAGGGACAGCCCGATATGCTGGTAGACCCGTCTACCCCCCCAAACACCTTGTGTAGGGGCGTATCGGAAGGGCCCCAATACGATAAGTATCAGCTAATATGCCCTTCGTGGCAAAATTTTGAACCTTGCATAAAAATTTTCATGTGAACAGCATTTCTACCAACTTTGGAGAAACCAAACACTTGAAAAATTGATTATTCTTTAAGAAACCAGGAATCATTTCTTCTTACCAAACGATTACTAAATGTTTCTTAAGAATATGTCGCTATTGGGCCATTCTCCGGCCAACCAGTCGACCCCCCGTATGCCCATGAGGTGTCTGATTGAGGGGATGCTTCCAACTTCCAACTAAGCTTCGGAGGCAAGTCAATCGGTATTCTCAGTATTCACGCACGCTCACTCCAATCACAGCTAACCTATTTAGCAAAGCCCATGTGCGGCACCCATCAGATGCCAAGTAATCCGCGTTGGACTTACAATCTGAAAGCCACACCCACTTTATTGATTGATTCAACGTTTTTTTTTATTCATCAACTTACAATCTGAAAATAATAGAAAAATACCTATCAACAAATGCACAATAGGCTAGCGTTTGGAAGTCTTCACACTTTAAGCCCCTTCAGTTGGAGGAAGAAGGTCAGATCAGTAACATCATTTTTTTTCAATTGATGTGAACCATGGCTGCGACCCATAAACGAAATTTGATTCAGAAGTCATACCATGATATCATATACATATTCTCTTGATGATTCACCAACAAGAATGATCGTTGCAGAGTTCAAACGGTCCGACCATTTGACCCAAATGGCCAGCCCATTCTGACAAAAAAAAATTAAAAATTTTGAAAAACGATTAAAACCATTCAAACAGTTCGAACGATTAACCAACCAATTCAGCAGTTTGCTGACCAAAATCAACAGTTTTGAGGGAAAAGATAGGTTTGGAGAAAAACGGAACTGGTCAGGTGACCATTCCCGATTTTTCCGATCCCACTGTCCGGTCCGGTCCGATTTTAAAAACCATGATTAGAAGCAAGATTTTAAGTTTCAGAAATTTCGTCCATACATTACATTATTTTTTGTATTCTCGTACAAAAATCCAAAACGAACCATAACCAAATCCAAATCCCTTAATTTCATCCCTAATAAATAAACAGATACACCAAAAAGACTTTGGCTTTTCATAATTTAATTTGGGTAATCATGATTTTGAAGCTTCATGGCCCACAAATGAGAAAAACTTTGCTCTCTGCAAGTCTGCAGCATCGCTTCGCTTACACCAACCAGAGTCTTGGACTAGTGAGAAGAAGTGCAAGTAAGGACAACGTTATCACATGATTGAGAAGTGATGAGATTGCACGGTGGTGATAGAAGATAGTTGACGAGTATATAATAAGGAGCGCCTGAGATTTTCTCTTCCTTGCTCATGACAACCTGTAAACGGCTTTACGTGCTTTGTTATCAACTCACCAAATTCAATTCAAACTCCCAAGGCTCACTCAAACCGGTTGAAATATCATCACAAAGGTATAACGTGTATGTACATGCAAGACTCAAGAAGGAAGTCCCAACAACCAAAGAATTGACCCAGTTTGCTCTCATTATTTTGTTGTATAAGCAACTAAAAAAAATAAATACAATCACAACCGAAAATTTCCAGGGGAAAAAATAGCAATTGTATTAATCTATGAAGACAGGTTGTTTACCACTCGCAATTAAGACAGTTAAGGTCCGAATTGAGGGAGGTAGGTGCTTCTTTACAGGCAGGTGGGCATCAGTTGTCAGCTTCCACTGAAACCACGACTATGTTTCTTCATCCTCCCCATCTCCATCTCTCGGGTGGTTTGCTCACCGCTTGACCCAGATGGGTACAGACCATACTCGCTGGTCGGCTCACTATACCCACTGCTAGCGTACTCCTGGCTGCCTAATGCCATCTTCCTGAATTTCTTCATGTCCTCATTGTATTGCATTGTGTCATAATCTGAGCTCCCATAGGAACCGTAGACTGTGCTATGCCCAGGTCTGATGCCTTCGTTCAGATCAGCCAGAGAGACATCTCCTTCCAATGCCCGAACAATCTGCTTAGTTTAAAACCGTTGTAATTGGTTAGAATTAGAGAAGGGGAATATGGCATTAAAGCCAAAATCCTAAAGCTTCTCAGACTGATATAAAAGGCTGAGAAAGTCTGATTAAATTGAAGCTCTGTCACTTTAATTGAGCCAAAAAGCCAACTTGGTCATAAAGATGATATGCCAAGCTCCAAAAATCTAAGTTGTTACCTGGCTCATGCGGGGTCGACGCCTTGCAGAATGGCGTACACAAGAGGCAGCACAGGCAACCATCCGTGCCATCCCACTCTGGTCATAATCACCATCCAACCGTGGATCAGCAAGAGTGTCATAGTTGCCATCTTCTAAAGCCCTTGTAAGCAATGGTCTTGCCTGCAGTGTAAAAACAGCAAAAGCTATGTTAATTCATTTCAGGTTTTGTGACCAATGATGCTCTATATTGGCAAAATTATTAGAAAATAATTGATAGCATTTTCAAGTATTGCTGAAAAATTCCAAGTGTTAACAGAGATGGCAGTGTTTCATTTTAAGCAGGAAAAAAGTGGGGAATAAGGAATGTTGCTTGGACTCTCCTACATCGATGACAGAATGGAATCCGACACTTCACAGATTCTTAATGACAGTTCCATGTAACATTTCCTTTTTATATCCTGGTTTGTTTGACATAAATGAATACATAATGGCACAAGACGAATGCCATTTTACGTATCAAAGTTTGCTTAGTAACAAAGGCAGCATAGTAGACCCCTTTTTTGCAAGTATATAATGTTAGAATTCAAAAAAAAAAAAAAAGAAGTATAGGTTCCCACTCTTGGACATGCATTGAATTTTAACTCCTGTGTCTGTGTCCATGAAACACTGCTTGCAACACTTCATAAGGAGAAAAAGAAACTATAGGTTGATACAAGGAATTACTGACCCAGTCCACCAAGCTATCATCCATGAAGGTTTGACTTGTATCAACGGGTCGGCGCCCGGTAATCAACTCCAGCAACATGACTCCAAAAGAGAAAACATCTGATTTATCTGTGAGTTTGCCGCTTGATGCATATTCTGGAGCCAGATACCTGTGTAACCATGAGTATGTTAATCTCCATAATGATTAAAAGCAGGGGGAAAAACAGGTTCCAACTTCACAATCAAAATTAGCAGAATTGATGGTTGCAAGCTCAAAAGATAGGCTAACATGGCCAGACTCTTGATTTCTTGCTCTTCTAATTCTAGAATCTAGAAAACTTCAAATTGCTTCAATCAGACTAATGCCTTTGGTGGCATATCAAAAACTCATGGAAGTGCTTTTTTAAGGGGAGAAGAGAAAGAGAATAGGAAAAAAGTTAGAAGGATTGCTTTAACCTAGCAAGCCATTGATAAACATGCTTTTCAGTGGCCTAGTCCAGACACCTCCAAATTAGATAAAGGGGGCACATCTCTAACCACTGGTCAAAACTATATGTTCTAAAAGGAAAACAAGTGCATATTTATTTTAAAATTTTTAAAATCTAATGTGCCCAGAACAGAAGGGTTTCTTTGCTTTTTCAGTGGTTAGAATAAAAGAAACTGGAATCTGACCAAACCAGTCTCCCTACTAACCAGGGATGCAATCCTGACCAGCAGTTGTAAAAACTAAACCAAAATGATAAGGTAAAATTGTTAAAAAAATACAAGAATTGAGAACTAAAACCAGGAACAAATCTCTGTGGTTTCCTCCTTTCCCTTCAGAGTTTTTAAACTTTCATAGTTGAATCTGACTTTAAAAAACAGCATTGGAGCTGATAATAGAAAACATGGGGGAATGAAATCTTACCCAAAAGTTCCCATTACTCGAGTAGAGACATGAGTGTTTCCATCAGAGGAAAATTTTGCAAGCCCAAAATCTGCAACCTGAGCAAAAACTCAAGTTCATTAACTCAAAGATACAAATAAATGTAAGAAACTAGAACACATCAGGTCTTTTCAGATAGTTTCAAGGATAGCCAGTATCACATCATTAACAAAATCAATGATACAAAACCTACCTTTGCCTCAAATTTAAAATCAAGAAGAATGTTAGCTGACTTGATATCACGATGAATAATCTTAGGATTACCTATAGTTGGAAATATTTGCAATTAGTATAAATACATAACTGTCATATCAAAATCTTACAAATCAAATTGTGGTTTATGATGAGAAGATTATATAAGAAAACTCACAGTCTTCATGCAGATACGCAAGTCCTTTTGCAGAGCCTAGGGCAATTTTCAATCTGGTGGGCCAGTCCATAGTTGGTCGCCCTTTTCCTGCAAGAAGTTATTTTCAATGATCAGATATTACTCAGAAAAACAGATTTCAGAAATGAGGTATCAAGGAATAGTGAGGTATGAGGAGCAACTTCACAATTGGAAGTTTCATATGGAAAACAACACAATTCATGCTTCTTTAAGCATATTGTGATTAGATCAATATTTTGGTGCTATACTCCTATACTAAGAGCAAAAGCAGCAAACAGGGAAATCTAGACTTACCATGTAAATGAAACTCCAAGGTGTTGTTTGGAACAAACTCATAGACAAGCATCCTTTGTGATCCAGCCATGCAATATCCAACCAATGAAACAAGGTGCTTGTGATGTACTCGGCTAATAATCTCGACTTCCGCTTGAAATTCACGCTCCCCCTGCCCACTACCAGCTTTGAGCTGTTTAACTGCAACTTCTTTCCCATTTGGAAGCACTCCTCTATGAACATATCCAAACCCACCTTGCCCTAGCAAGTTGGCATTCGAGAAGCCATCAGTGGCCATTGCTAATTCTTCATATGTGAATGTGCTCTTTGAGAAGCCTAAGGCAATGCCAGGGGATGGTGGTGGGAGCGGGTTCTCAGAGCCTGAATAGTTGGATCCAGACCCTGCACTACTGCTTGTAAATGGAGGCGGAGGTGGTGGTGTGGGAACATGAGTTGGTGAAAGTGGTGGTCGTGATGCAACAGATGGTGGAGGAGTGGGCTTTGGCAGCATTGTGACTACATGGTCCCCTGGTGGGGGAGGAGGGGCATTATGTTGCCACTGTTGAGGACGTCCACCATAAGGGTCATCTGAAGATATTAACAACAGGAAAATGAATTAGCTTGAGTGCTAGCTTGAACCCTGAAAAACAGGTAGAATGATGCTTTAGCCTTTAGGAGCCCATATGTACAATATAAAAGGCATTTACCCATAAAAGGCATTTTCTGAATGACTCTATGACATTAAAAGATATGCCTGTTATTTAGCATGTCATATACTGCTTCTAAGACATTTGTGTACTTCCGTAGTTGAAGCTATAAAAAGAGCCAACCCATATTTAAGTATGAAAATGACAAACAACAAACAGAGACACACTGATAAAAAAAAAAAAAACAACAACAAACAGACACATTTAACAAAAATGCAAGTTGATGCACAAAGAGGAAATTTATTTCTGGCAATGGAACTTCCATTATCATGCATTTGTTGATAAATCAAGCTCCTAGCATAAAAGTGAACAAATACCAACCCAGTCAAGTGCCACTTTAAAAGAATTTAGGTCATCAGTCACCTGTATGCAAGGATTTAGCTCGGTTCAAAATGCATGCACACCTTTTTTCTCTAGGTTATCTCAAGATACAAAAAGATGATATTCACAGAGGATCTTTTTTTTTCCAGCAAGCTTTGGTTTACAAAACAAATTTAGCAGTCTAAATTTAGCAGGGAAACAACTCCCGGTTGCATTTTCTCGATGTAGTTTGTAAACATATTTAAACTGAAAATAGCGATCCAAGGATTATTATCAAACTGAAAACATAACACATACTCCTGGCTCCTCTTACTATCAAGAGACTCAAGATCCTAGACCTATATCAACATTCGGAGTATATAGAGTGCAGATTAATCTGACAACTCTAGACATAGAGGGAAGAAACGCTTGCTTTCTCGGGATTTCTTATTTTTATTTAGTTAGCCAATCCCTACGCACGAAACAACGAAGAATGGGATTTTCCCTTCGAAATTTACAGTTAAACACAGAACGATTCCAAATTTCTCGCATCTGCAGATGAAATTTCTTTAAGGAGTTCAAAGTACAGCTGTTGGACCCACATTCTCAAAAGGAAAAACTTTGGACTTAGAAAAAAATATAAGTTTGAAATTCATCAGTTCAGCTAATAAAAGCAAACATTTTTTCCAATTTACAACCTAAAGGCTAAAGCAGAATGTTTTCAGGATTGTAATACTACTATACTAGCCGCACCCACACCTCAAATCCATAGAATGCAAACAAGCAGTTATGGTAAACCCCGTACCAAAACAAAGAAGACAATGTCCGAAGTTAGGTCTTCTGTATATAAAATAAATGAAAGTTCGAATTTTGAACACTTTAATGCTAAAAATGTAAAACAATAATCCAAAACCCGGATAAGAATATCAAGAAAAACGCCTGAGATTTTTCCAAATAAAAATCTTTCGACCGCGAGATTGTACTAATGAGCATTACCAGATTTAGGCTTTCTTCTGATCAATTGAATTTCAAATATCAGTTTTTTTCTTTCTTTCTTTTTTTCCAAAATTAAGCCAACTAAAGTTGAAAATCTCAATCCCGCAATATCAGCACGGAGCAATTGTAACACGGGATCCGG